TGACAGTGGGGTGTTAAAGGCTCCCACTATTATTGTGTAGGAGTCTAAGTCTCTTTGTAGGTCTCTAAGACCATTTTATGAATCTGGGTGCTCCTGCATTGGGTGCATATATATTTAGGATAGTTAGCTCTTCTTGTGGCATTGATCCCTTTACCATTATGTAATGCCCTTCTTTGTCTTTTTTGATCTCTGTTGGTTTAAAGTATGTTTTATCAAAGACTAGGATTGCAACACCTGCTTTTTTTTTTTTTTAATTTCCATTTGCTTGGTAAATATTCTTCCATTCCTTTATTCTGAGCCATGTGTGTCTTTACACATGAGATGGGTCTCCTGAATACAGCATCCCAATGGGTCTTGACTCTCTATCCAATTTGCCAGTCTGTGTCTTTTAATTGGGACATTTAGCCCATTTACATTTAAGGTTAATATTGTTATGTGTGAATTTGAACCTGTCATTGTGATGCTAGCTGGTTATTTTACACATTAGCTGATGCAGTTTCTTCATAGCATTGTTGGCCTTTATAGCTTGGTATGTTTTTGAAGTGGCTGGTACCAGTTTTTCCTTTCCATATTTAGTGCTCCCTTCAAGAGCTCTTGTAAGGCAGGCCTGTTGGTGACAAAAGCCCTAAGCACTTGCTTGTCCATAAATGATTTTAATTCTCCTTTGCTTATGAAGCTTAGTTTTGCTAGATATGAAATTATGGGTTGCAAATTCTTTTCTTTAGAGTGTTGAATATTGGCCCCCACACTCTTCTGGCTTGTAGCGTTTCTGCAGAGAGATCTTCTATTAGCCTGATGGGCTTCCCTTTGTAGGTAACCTGACCTTTCTCTCTGGCTGCCCTTAACATTTTTTCCTTTGTTTCAACCTTAGAGAATTGGACAATTATGTATCTTGGGGTTGCTCTTCTCAAGGAGTAACTTAATGGTGTTCTCTGTATTTCCTGAATTTGAATGTTGGCCTGTCTTGCTAGATTGGGGAAGTTCTCCTGGATAATATCTTGAAGTGTGCTTTCAACTTGGTTCCATTCTCCCTGTTACTTTCAGGTACGCCAATCAGTCATAAGTTTGGTCTTTTCACATAATCCCGTATTTCTTGGAGGCTTTGTTCATTCCTTTTCATTTTTTTTTCCTCTAATCTTGTCTTCACACCTTATTTCAGTAAGTTGATCTTCAATCTCTGATATCCTTTCTTCCACTGGATCAATTTGGCTATTGATACTTGTGTATGCTTCACAAAGTTCTCATGCTGTGTTTTTTCAGCTCCATCAGGTCATTTATGTTCTTCTCTAAACTGGTTATTCTAGTTAGCAGTTCCTGTAACATTTTATCAAGGTTGTTAGCTTCCTTGCATTGGGCTGGAACATGCTCCTTTAGCTCAGGGGAGTTTGTTATTACCCACCTTCTGAAGCCTATTTCTGTCAATTTGTCAAACTCATTCTTCATCCAGTTTTGTGTCTTTGCATTTGGAGAAGAGGCCTTCTGGTTTTTGGATTTTTCAGCATTTTTGTGCTGGTTTTTCTTCATCTTAGTGGATTTATCTACCTTTGATCTTTGAGGCTGATGACCTCTGGATGGGGTTTTTGTGTGGGGGTCCTTTTTGTTGATAATGATGTTATTGCTTTCTGTTTGTTAGTTTTGTCAGGCCCCTCTTCTGCAGGTCTGCTGCAGTTTGCTGGAGGTCCACTCCAGACCCTGTTTGCCTGGGTATCACCAGCAGAGGCTGCAGAACAGCAAAGATTGCTGTCTGCTCCTTCCCCTGGAAGCTTCATCCCAGAGGAGCACGCGCCAGGTGCCAGCCAAAACTCTCCTGTATGAGGTGTCTGTTGACCATTGCTTGGAGGTCTCTCCCAATCAGGAGGCACGGGGGTCAGGGACCCACGTGAGGAGGCAGTCTGTCCCTTAGCAGGGCTCAAGTGCTGTGCTGGGAGAATCCTCTTTGTCAGGATCCTCTGCTGTCTTCAGAGCTGGCAAGCAGGAATGTTTAAGTCCACTGAAGCTGTGCCCACAGCTGGCCCTTCCCCAGGTGCTCTGTCCCAGGGAGATGGGAGTCTTTTCTATAAGCCCCTGAATGGGGCTGCCGCCTTTCTTTCAGAGATGCCCTGCCTAGTGAAGAGGAATCTAGAGAGGCAGTCTGGCTGCAGCTGCTTTGCCATGCTGTGGTGACGTCTACCCCGTGAGAACTTCCCAGCCTCCTTAGCACTGTCAGGGGAAAACTTCTACTCAAGCCTCAGTAATGGCGGACGCCCCTCCCCCACCAAGCTGGATCGTCCCAGGTTGTCTTCAGACTGCTGGGCTGGCAGCAAAAATTTTAATCCAGTGGTTCTTAGCTTGCTGGGCTCCATGGGAGTGATTCCTGCTGAGCAAAACCACTTAGCTCCCTGGCTTCAGCCCCCTTTCTAGGGGACTGAACAGTTCTGTCTTGCTGGGGTTCCAGACACCACTGAGTTAGAAATGCAGAAATCACCTGCCTTTGGCATTGGTCTCTCTAGGAGCTACAGACCGCAGCTGTTCCCATGTGGTCATCTTGCCAGATCTCTTATGCAACATTTCTTACTTTGAGGAGTTTACCTGATCTGACAGCATCCTCCTCTGTTTTAAACAAAGTTCCAATGGGAGTGATTAAGGCCTATACCAATTCGGGTGATTTTAGTGGCAATGTAGAGAACCCAAATCAAATTGGTTTGAGCAATAAAGGGTATTGGCTCATATATGTAAAAAAGACTTGAGGTGGGTCCGGCTTCAGGTACAGCTGGATCAGGGCATCAGCCTCTGCTTATCTTCAGATGTCAGCTTATCTTCATATGCACTCTGATGATAGCAAAATGACTGCAGCACTTCCAGACTTCACATCTCTACATTACAGCATATAACCAAGAGAGAGCAGATTGACTTATGACTCCCTAAAAAGTTCTGAAGTTCACTCTTCATGGACTGCTCAGATCATGTGTCTTTCCCTAAAATAATCACGAAGGCAGGGGAATAGAATGTGATGACTGACTTGGCCAAGGTCACTTGCTCCTCTATTTGCACAAGGTTAACGATAGCTTTTCTTAACTTCACGGATCTTCAAACACAAACTGGGGGACTACTGGGAAGGAGGATGAGATGGCCTTCCTTAGACCCAATCATGCCTGGAGAAATAGAACAAGACAGCAGGTAACTTAAGTATAGCAGGACTTGTTTTCTATGTTGGTATGTAAATCCTTGAGAGCTGGAGTAGTCCCTCCCCAGCCTGAAGCTCTGGGACTCCCTGCTCTAGTGCCACCCTCTGGCTAGTGCCATCTTTGTTCCCAAAGGGTTGTACAGATTGCTAATCTTCAAGTATATATGCATAAGGAACTTGGGGAGAACTTGGAAGCTACATTCATTCAATGGAGTTCTTATGTCCTGTATTCTTGGTACAACCAAGAATGGCAGCCCCATTGAGGGGCTTAAAGAAAAAACTCCCATCTCCCTGGACAGAACACCTGGGGGAAGGGGCAGCTGTGGGCACAGCTTCAGTTTGTTGGGCTGGTAGTGAAAGCAACCTCAGCAAAGTCCAAGCGTTCATGCTCACCCATCTCTAACCAGCACACCCTTTGTGGCCTGGCCTCACTCTGCAGGGGAAGTAACTAAAAACAGCCACTACAATGACACAATCTCAGTGTAGTCCTTTCAAAAGGAAAATTTTGATTCCTTCCAGAAACATTCTCTGTTATGAAAATCATTCCTTATCTTTACTGCTTATGCGCTGAATGAGATAAGTAGTTTAAAATTTCAGCATTAAGTTCAGGTAAAGAAAGTATTTCCTATCAAAAAAGTGGGCAAAATATGGGAATGGATTACTAAAGGAGCTTGTAGACCGTCCTTCTCTGGGGAAAAGTAAAAAACAGAAGACCTTGTTGACAATGATAGTCTATTGATATATGGAAAAAATATACCTGATTCCTAGGGCTGTCAGTTATATTGCGCTTTACTTTAGTGTATTCTAGTTACAAAAGAGCAATTATCTTTCTATTGATCCTTGATAGCATGAAAGTTTTCCATTTGACAAATTGTGGCATGTATTTCACTTAACTTTTACTGAGCCTTTACCATGAGCCAACCTAGGGGCTTTGGCTGCACAAGACTTGGTTTCTGTTTGAAGGACACAGTCTAATAGATGTAGACAGGTATGCAAACTAAAGCATGCCAGAGGTGCTCTTGGCGCCTCAGTGGCAGTGCTTCTCAGGGTAGTGTCCTTGGACCAGACTGATTCAGATCACATGGGATTGCTTATCATATGGGGCGCAGACCCACTGAATCATCTTGGAGTAGGGCAAGGTGTGTTGGGATCTCAACAAGCTCCCAGGCGTAGCTTTGCACTCTGAAATTTGGAACTTGGTACAGGGTACAGTGAGGGCATAAAAAGGAAGGGAATGATAAATGCTACCTTGGCAGGGGAGGCGATCAAAAATTTTTTATCATAGAGGTGATATTTGAGTTGGGCTTTCAAAAGATGAGGGCGAGTTTTAAAGACAGACAGGGTCAGGAGGGGGCTTCCAGGCAGGTGAACAGCATGAGCAAAGGTCATGAGGCAGGAAGAGCATCATCTATTTCTTGGAAGGAGCATCATTCTCTCCCTTGTTCCTGGGAAGGAGCCGAATGGGGAACAGGAAGTGGGTGGCTTACAAACACAAGGCTATGCTTCTCATACATGTGACATGTTGACTGCAAGCCAGCGAGGCTCTGCTCCACATCTTCCTTCTGCGACACAAGTAATCAGAAGCAGCCAGATGAAGTGGCAAGGCTGCTTGGGCGGAAGAAAGAACATGGCAGAGCCACACCATGACTGCTGAACTTCTGCTCAGAGGCAGCACATGTCATTTTTATTCACAGTCTGTTGGCCCAAAGGGGTCACATGATATCAGTGGGGCAGGAACATATAATCCAATCACAGGGAGGGGCAGCAAATATTTGGAGTGATTATACAATCTCCTATAGGTGGGAGTTAATAGAAATCACTGAATTAAAGGAAAAACATAAAACTATCAAAAGAATTGAACAAGGAGTTCAACAATCTTTTTGAAGTTAGGTTTTGAGGGTGTGATAATGGGATGTTTGTTTCATCAATTTTTTTATTGGCTGTATCTGCACCTATTAGCCAAAGCAGGCTAAGAAATACATATAAAGGTGTTTCCCAGAATGCACTGCTTAGAACTCACTGCTTCCAGGAGATGCTACGGTGTACTATGAGAATGGGAATTCTGTAAGTAAATATGAAGACTTGAATTTTCATAATGCACATTTCAGTGTTAAAAAAAGCTCATGGAACTTCTTCAGTGGCAACACTTTATTAAATTTAAAAAAAATTAACTTAGTTTTAATACATTTCCCTAGTTTATTTAATCACAGAATCTTTTTTGCATAACACTTATTAATAGGCTGCAGGACTTCTATCTTGAGAATCATACTTCAGAAAATGCTGAATGAAACTATTTTAAAACAATATCAGAGACAATCTCAGTTTTCCTTGGTAATTACTCCAAGAGTTACCAAACTTTTCTCTAAAAGAAATGTACTCTGATGCTAATTTAAGTATAGTATAGGCAGAGTCAATTTTCTGGTGCTTCACATATGTAATTATAGATGTGACCAAACGTAATAAAGCAGTTTTCATAGGACTTCTCTGCTAATTTCTACTTAGATGAGTACAGCTCAACAAAAAAGGGGTTGTGGGATACGTTATATGCCATAGATGCCTAAATGTTTTTAAAGGCGGCACACAGTTGAATATAATCACAAACACTCAAAGCTTTATAGGTACTCAGTCAAGCCTCCTGATTGAATAGGTTTTGTAGCAATCTGCCAATGACTCCTTCGGAAATCTGAATGAATGATTTGAGGTGCTGCATCACTGATAGTGTTTATTCCTAACACGAGTCTGTTCGGTTCGGTTTCCTAAACACTTTTTGAAAGGATGCCTGTGAGATTCCAGGCTACATACTATTCTTAGTTTGATATCCTAATGTTGTGATCTATCCATAATATTTAAAATTTTAAGACTTTTTTTTTTTTTTTAACTTCTGGAACCCTACTCAGTAGTTTCATTATAGTCTAGATAACTAAACACCTTAAGTAAGGCTACATTTATGATTGTTAATGATAATTCTCATTCGATACCTACATTAGTTATATAGAACTTACTTCCAAAAAGCATTTGAAAAGGCAGCTCATTAGGGGCAGTCTAAGAGTCCCCCTTTCTACTAATCTCCTTTTGAGGCCTATCAAATGTTAGGAGGACACCCTAGTGCTCAAACTCTCTTACCCAACGTGTTTGCTTTCTGTTTTTTAATAGTTTCTTCAGTTCCGTTGCCTGTGCCACGTGGGTACATGAAGCCCTGTAATTGTGTAAATGCAGAGTAAAAACCTATAATTTTGATACAAATATGTACTCAAATTTCAAGCAGCTAGTTATCAAAGACAACAACATTCATTCTGGTGCAGATACAGGATTCTGCACCAGAATGAATCTGCTCAATATTGACATAGTGAATTGTCCTGAGAAGATTAAACCACAACTAGAAAAGCAGGCGGAGGGACAGTGAGTGACAGGGGCTTTGTGGGGGGGCAGTGCCTCCCAGGGGGAGAGTTCATCTTCTTACTCAAAGAGACGCCTTCAGGGATCATGTAACTTGAATTCCCTGTGAATTCAGTGTCATCTTAGCTTGACCAGCTCTGGAAGAACATATTAACCTCCGCTTGTGATTTTCAGAAAACCATTCTAATTTAGCAAGTAATTAAGGGTCACATGTAGGACAAAGAGCTAGATAATCTTGGATTACCCACAGGAAGCTTTGTCTCCAAGGCAACCCCCGATGGAGGGGCTGTTAATGCAAGGGCCAGTCGGTTAATGAACTGGGAAAGGTAACTGGCTCCCAAACCTGTGAGAGCCAGGGAAATGGACATAACAATTATATTGCTATTGAATGATGCAGTGATACAAAAGAAATGCTTCCAAAGCCAATGGCGGCAAAACGTTTAGAGAAAGGATATAATTGTCACTGTTGTGCTAGACCAAACCACAGATCTAAAATTAGCCTATTGTGAGTTCAAGCCAGGCCAATCTTTATTTATGAATTTTAGCCCAGTCTCCAGCTGAAACTTCTGGTTTCAGTATTTCCTATGACCTAATTACCCCACAACCTGGGTTTTCCTGAGGGGCAGCCTCAGGAAAACTACACTAGGCTGGGAGAGTGTCCCAAGGGAGTTTTTGAAGAGGAGACAAAACTTGTATTGTCCATCAGAGCCCTTGATACTCCATGCTGGACTAAAAAGTAAGATAGAGTTGCAGAGAGAAGCACTATAAGAGGATTTTTAGACCAGGTTGGTAAAGGCGGATGAGAAGAATGCAGGTGACCCAGTGACGGAGATTCCTTGATAAGAGGGAAAGAAAGCTAAAGGTATTCCCACGAGGAAACTTGAGCGGGACAGAGTGGAAAATTTAAGCAACTTGCCACTTCCTCAATGCTTCTCTGTCTCTTTTTTTGATGGCCACATTTAGGTCTTCATTCTCTATGAAGCCTTCTACAGCTCTGTGAGCTCTTATTTATTTCCTGTCTTTGAACATTTCCTGGACCACCTTGCACACTTATCTGTATGTTCTCTTTCCATGTTCATTAATAGTCATGCAGGTCAGGCATGGTGGCTCATGCCTGTAATCCCAGCACTTTGGGAGGCTGAAGTGGGTAGATCACCTGAGGTCAGAAGTTTGAGACCAGCCTGTCCAACATGGTGAAACCTGGTCTCTACTAAAAAAAAAAAATATATATATATATATATATATATATATACACAAAAATTAGCTGGGTGTGGTGGTGAGCACCTGTAGTCCTAGCTACTTGGGAGGCTGAGGCACAAGAATCACTTGACCAGTGAGCCGAGATTGTGCCACTGCACTCCAGCCTGTGTGACAGGGTGAGACTTTGTCTCAAAAGAAAAATAAGTCTCGTGTGGCTGGGTATTGTGTCTCTCGGCTTGTAAGATAAGGAATCATGGGATATTCATTCAGCAGCCTCTAAATATTTACTAAGAATCCATTGTGAGGTGAGTGCCATGCTGGCTGCTGGAGAACTAAAGACTGATAAAATACAGTGTCTGCCCGGAGCTCAGAGATACCGACGGATGCAGAAAAACCAGCACGAAAGTGCAGCAGCCTCTGAGAGTGACGCCCAAGCAGCCGGACACTCATCTGATACAGTACATTCCTGGATATGGAGCAACAAGAAAGAGGAGCCAGAAATGACCATTTATCACCAAGGCCCATGTGTGACTGCCCGTAATCACCAACTCAAGAAATAAGTGAAAGCAGAGAGCATTGAACTTCTGGGTTAAGGCAGAAAAGCATACAAAGCAAAGACATTTGGGCAAAGACTTACTATGACCTCCTACGCAGGAAGATAAGACCAGTGTGGTGTGTTTTCAGCATCTGATGAGGTGCATTCCCTTTTGAGCTAATTCTTCCATCAGGACAGATTTGAGGGTGGAAGGAAGGAAAGTGATGCTAAACTGATCAGATTTAGACCACAAGGAAGGGAAAGAGATGATTCACTTAAAATCTGAAATTAAATTGGGAAAGGATCGCTTTCACAGTTGTAGGGGACTTATCTTAAAATTCTCTGAAATAGAGGTATAAAGGCTGAAGGGATCTATTTGGATATCTGGATGATTATTTAGAAAACTATATTAATGACAAAGCAATAAACACCCAATGTTGACAAAAAGTAGAAAAGACAAAAGGAAACCTATCTGATAGAATAAAGCTCAAAATGCTCTGGTGAGTTGAAACCCAAATAAGACAGATGAATGAGAAGCAGGGGAGAGTCCCAAACAAGGCTCAAAGAAATTAGTTTTCAAACTGAAAGGTAAAAAGCAAAAATGAGATATGAACTCCACCAAGGGAAATGGATAGTGACCTCCTTAGATAGTGAAGACAGAAGAAGTCAGGAAAATTTGCTGCTTATTAGATAGGCTTATGAGAAAAGCTCTTATGATGCCCATCTGAGATGTTCACACAGTTCTGGGTGCTTACAAAGGAAAACAGAACCAGCACGGGGAAAGAGGACATCGTATTTTCCTTTCTCAGAGTAATTGTAAACAGATACAAAAATCCCGGTGTGAAAAGTAGATGTGGAAATACACAATGAATAAGCCAATTGGGAGGCTGAGTTAAACTCGGGCAGTTGGCCGGGTGCAGTGGCTCATGCCTGTAAACCTAGCACTTTGGGAGCCTGAGGCAGGTGGATCACGTGGTCAGGAGTTTGAGACCAACCTGACCAACATGGTGAAACACTGTCTCTATTAAAAATACAAAAAAAAAAAAAAATAGCCAGGTGTGGTGGCGGGGGCCTGTAATCCCAGCTACTCAGGAGGCTGAGGCAGGAGAATCACTTGAACCCGGGAGGTGAAGGTTGCAGTGAGCCAAGATCACACCATCTCACTCCAGCCTGGGCGACATAACAAGACTCTGTCTCAAACAACAACAACAACAAAAACTGAGGCAGTTTGTCTGATGGCTGTTTAAATGGTCTGGAAGTCTTTGGGAAGGTGTTCCATGTCTATAATTCTGACAATAATTTATAATCTTTTCTAGATACATTTTAGATAAACATGGCCATATCGGAAAACCGTGGGACATGAAAGAGGAAGTTCTGAAACTGTAATCAACTCATTCATTCATTGAATAAGCATTTATTGTGCACCTAGATGAACAGCACCTAGCACTGTTTTCGCATTAGGGATAGAGCAATGAATGAGAAAAACAAGGACTTGGTGTCATAGTGTTTTATGGGCCAGAGGGGAGAGATAGACAATGAAACTATTGACAAACTTTTAAAAATAAAATTTCAAATTGTGATGTTGGTAAGTGCTGCAAAAACAAATAAACAAAAAGCAGAGAGGTGAGACAGAGAGTGACTGGAAGGCAGGAAACCTTGGTACTTTAGGTAGTGGGCACGGGGAAGCCGTCCTGGTGGGGAAGACATTGGAGCTGAAGCTTGAGGGATAAAGAGGCAGCCCGGTGAAGATCAGGGGGCAGACAGTCCTCGGCAGAGGGACGACAATGCAAAGTCCCAGCGGTGAGAAAGCCATGGCATGTTCAAGGAGCAGAAGAGAAGCCCAGAATGATGGGAGTGTGGTCAGAAGTGGGAGAATGGTGACAGAGGAGGCTGGAAGGATTGGCAGGGACCTGCTAACCATGGAAAGGGGTTTGAAGTATTTTCTAGCTGCAGTGAGAGTGACCTGAGGCTTTCAAGCAAAGGCTACTGTCATCTTTCGGTGTGATTTCTGAGGCTCCACAGCTCTAGTGGACCAGCAGAACCACCACCCCCCGCAGGATCTCAGATCCCACTGCAGACTGGCTGTGGCAGGATCTATACTAAGTCTCTGAATGCTGCTTGCATACGTGAGAAGCACTTCTAGAATCATATCTATGCTAAGTCTATATCTATATCTATATCTAGAGTCATATCATACTAAGTCTATAGATCTATACTATAGATCTAGCACTTCTAGAATCATATCTATGCTAAGTCTATAGATCTATACATATCTAATCATATCTATACTAAGTCCCTGAATGCTGCTTGCGTACGTGGAGACGCACTTCTAGAATCATATCTATGCTTTAAAAATACTCCATGGTACACCCACTAGGATGGTTATAATTTTCTTGAGAAGGGAAGTAACAAGTGTTGGTGAAGATGTGGAGAAACGGAAACTTTTCACATTGTTGGTGGCAATAAAAGGGGGAGCAGCCACCTTGGAAACCAGTTTGGCTGTTCCTCAATAATGCAAACATAGAGTTACTCACTCAGAGCATTTCCACTTCTGGGAATCTACCCAAAAGAATTGAAAACAGATGTTCAAAGAAAAGCTGGTACATAAATATTCAGAGCAGTGCTATTCACAATAAACGAAAGGTAGAAACAAACCCAAATGTTCATTTACTGATGAAAGGATAAACAAATGTGGTCTATCCATATAATGGAATATTATCCATTCACAAAAGGAATGAAGTACTGATACGTGCCACAACAGGGATAAATCTTGAAAACATGCTAAGTGAAAGAAGCTAGACATATTAGGCCACATTATCACATGATTCCATTCACATGCAGTATTCAAAATAGGCAACTCCATAGAGACAGAAAGCAGATGGTGGTGGCAGTGGGGAGGAGAGAATGGAGAGAGACTGACTAATGGGTACAAGGTTTCCTTTAGAGGTGATGAAAATCCGAAACTAGATAGTGGGGATGCTTACACAACATTGTCAAGGTACTAAGTGTCGCTAATGGTAAATTTTGTGTTATGCGTATTGTACCTTAATTTTCAAAAGAAGACTGTAAAGAGCAAGGGCAAATAACACACCAATGGTATTTCCTCAAGGGCTGTTGTGGAGTTAGTAAGTGGTTGCTAATTGGGTCTTCATTTTGTAGCACTTCAGTAATGGTCTGGATACTAAAAACTTCAAAATGCACTACATTGCTTTGAGAAAACACCAAGCGAATAGACCTAGTCAATACCTTGTTGAAAACTCAAACACAATAAATAAAATAACATAAAACAAAACTCAAACACAAACGAACAAAGCTGAATTAGGTCTGAATCAAGTAGAATGCAGCTCAGCAAGATTGAGAAGAAATGAACAGTTGCCAAGGGCAGGAAGGTGAAAAAAGGTAGAAGAGATCAAAATCAAGGAGTCAGGAGCATGCCCACCGGAATCTGGAAGACAGCACTGTGGACAAAGAGCCCATTTCCGTAACTGGATTCATACATGGGTGGCTCACAGATCACAAACCACTGGGCTCCCTTGCCATTCCATTCAGCATCACTCACCTACATTCTCAAACCGTGCTTCCAACTCTGGGGTTTCCATCTGGTAACCTGAAAAACAAAGAACCATGGATTGCTTAGATTTGCATATTAACATCTAGCAAGAGAAGGTATTGCTTATTGATTCGTTTGTTCATCCCCCACTTCCTACTCCCTACCCCCATCCAACCTTCTGGTCACCTACATGACTCACCTCTGGAGAGCCATAGAGCAGGGGTTAAAAGCATGACCTGTGGGTCTAGAGCGGCCTCGAATCACACCTCCACCATTTACTGCGAGTGATGCTGGGAAAATCACTTAACCTTTAGTGCCTCTGTTTTCTCATATATAAGGTGGGAATAATGATTCAGAATTATGAGGAGTGAGTCAATACATGCAAAAGGCTTAGAACAGTACTTGGAATTTAGGAATTGCTCAATTCCATTAGCTGCTTAACATTATTATTAATATTAATTCATATTAAGATGCTCATTACTCTGTGGGGCACTGGGATTGTGGAAAGAATGAGATGTTCTCCCTGTTGAGGCAGAGCCCATGTCTGGTGTGGGAATCTACTAAAATGCTGCTTGGAAAACATAAAGGAAGAGGTGGGCACAAGTTCTTTGGGGTCCCATAAAAACTTTAATTCTGTCCAGGAGGAAACTAAGATTTCAAAGACTGGGGTGCATCTGAGTGGCAGGAGAAGATGACAGTGATTATTGGTGAAGGGAGCAACATGTACAAAGGTCAGAAGGATGCAAGAGCCTGGCTCCCTTGAGGAACTGTGATTGACTCGGTGTAGCTGACATACAGTGTGAGGGACGGATCCTCTGCAGATGAGCTGGATGGTAGCTCCTCTCACTTCTGGTGCTTGCCAGCAATCTCTATCATTTCTTTGCTCGTAGATGCATCGTTCCAATGTCTGCCTTCATCCGCACACAGCCATCTTCCTTCTGTGTTTCCGTGTCTAAATTTCCTTCTTATAAAGACACCAGTCATTGATGAAGGTCCACCCTAATCAATTATGAGCTCATCCCAACTTGATTATAGCTACAAAGATGCTATTCCTAATGAGGTCACATTCATAGGTACCAGGGCTTAGGATTTGAAAGTGTCTCTTGGGGAGGGCACAATTCAACCCACAGCAGGGCCTGACCAGTTAGAGCAGCAGGGAGCTGCAGACAGACACGTTTTACATGATTTGAGGTGAGGAGGCTGGAGGGCTGTGAGATGCTGGCGGATCAGTTAGGAGTTTATCACAAAACATCAAGTGAGAACCTCAGAGCCCCGGCAAAGGCCATGTTTGTGAGAATGCTGAGCCATCAGAAGTACTGGCCAACCCAGCTGGGATTTTTGGCAAGAACAGTTCATAGGCAGAGGGCAATGTGAACTTCCATTAGGAGGTGCACCGTGTCTGGTTATGAGCAGGTACTCACCATCATTTCCTAGATTTGTTATTTCATTAGGTTTGATAAAATGGTGACATTCTAAATCCATCGTGTCCTCTTCATTTATTAGTGGTATGCTTCTAGAAAAAGTAATTTCCTCTCATCAACTATTTATTTACTTTGATCTACAGTATAAGCAGGAAAATGCCTTTTCTTTAAAAAAAACAAAAACTAGTTTTAAACTACAAAGTTGGTTCTCAGACATCCTCCTAAAATAACATTTATTTTTTTCTCGTTGTTGGCTGTCATTGTTTTTCTGTTTGTTTGATGCCATTTTGAACTCACAGATTTTAGCATATGATGTGTTTCAGTCCATGTCAATTATTATCCTTGATAATGCCGAAAGCATTCTAGTAGAAGCGTCTTCAAGTTGCCTCCTGAGTCCTGTTAATACAATTCCAGTAATGTTGCCAGTTTTCTTGCTTTGTTGAACTTTTCCAAGGTGGGTGAAGATTGGTATATTATTATTAAATTGCATTTCTTTTATTAGTAACAATATGCAGGAGCTTTTCGTGTATTTAATTGGGTGTATTGTGAGTGTGTGGCTGACCAGAGTACATGGATCAAAGTGCACGGGATGCTGCATTCAAGGGTGCACTGAGCAACCAGCCTGGGCAACATAGCAAGACCCCATCTCCACAACAAATTTAAAACTTAGCTTGGCATGGTGGTGTGCACCTGCAGTCCTAGCTACTCAGGAGGCTGAGGTGGAAGGATTGCTTGGGCCCACGTGTTTGAGCCTGCAGTGAGCTATGATCACACCACTGGACTCCAGCCTGGGTAACAGCAAAAGCCCGCCTCTATTAAAAGAAAAAGTGCACCGAATTATCACACAGGAGCCCTACTCTAATCTTGTCATTGGCATGACCTATAACCAAGTGTCATATCTTTCTGGATCTTCCTTTCTTATTAAATTAACGGATGTGGCTGGACAGCCATCAACCCCCCCGTCCAGCTAAAATGCTGAGAGCTTTATTTCTGGCTCCTACGTGCCCCAGACCTCATATAAAAGTTTTTTTTTTTTCAATAGAGCCAATTGTATAATTGTATAAGTTCAATTTAATTTTTGTGTTTGTGCAAGTTATTTTATCAAATTAATTTGCAAAACAAAAAACTGTTAGATTACACGTTCTTTTTTAATATTATTATTATTTTAAAATATGGTCACTGAACTGATGAAGGCCACATTGATTGACCCTTCTGCCTGCTCTTTCAGAAGCTGCAGCCAACTGGCAAATAGCTTCCCCAGCCTCCTGCTGAAGCATCTGCTAATGCTCTGCAGATTACTGTGTCCCCTCCGCCTCCCCCCACCCTCCCCTTCACCCTCCATCCTCAGGCTGCTCATTAACTCATTAGAAGCTGCTTTCATAGCAGCTGGAGGGGAGGTTCTGCTGCCTGCTGACTGTCGCTCAGTGTTTTCAGAGCACCTGCCTCAGTGTCACCTGGAGTCTTTGATAAATAGGACCGTTTTCATTTACTTGGTGCTTTTCCTCCAGAGCATTGAACACACTATGAGGAATCAACACGATCCTTGTGGAAATCTTTGTGCCATGTCTGTCCCATGCACTGGACAATAAGCTCCACAGGGCAGGCTGTCAGGTTTTGCTGACCGTCGTATCCCTGGCACTCAGCTCAGGACATAGTACTTGGTGGGCATCCCAAGATTCCCTGGATGCGGAATGCCTACATAGAGGAGTGACTGAGTGAATCAGGTTGAACTTGGGGCTGACGTGCAGGTCTAGGTGTCTGTATATGTGTGTCAATGCATGTATATATATGCATCTATACAATGGGGTCTCCTGTGCTAATCTAACATACTCAGAAACTTCAGAGGAGGAGGCTGGCAAGATCTTCATTCTGTGAGTCTGTGTGCTATCAGGAAAAAGAGGCCTGGCATGTGGCTCATGCCTGTAATCTCAGCACTTTGGGAGGTGAGGGTGGGTGGATCACTTGAGGTCAGAAGTTTGAGACCAGCCTGGTCCACATGGTGAAACACCATCTCTACAAAAAATTCAAAAATTAGCTGGGTATGGTGGTGGGTGCCTGTAATCCCAGCTACTCAGGAGGCTAAGGCAAGAGAATCGCTTGAACCTAGAGGCAGAGGTTGCAGTGAGAAGAGATTGTGCCACTATACTCCAGTTTGGGTCTGTCTCAAAAAAAAAAAAAAAGAAAAAAAGAATAAAGAAAGAAAGAAAACACGAAAAGCAGCACTGGCCTGGTAGGTCAAAGACCTAGAATCTGCTGCAGACTCAGCCACTCTCCATGACCTGATGGTTTTGAGCCCATCGTTTAATCTGCAGAACAGTGGTCTGGAGCCACAGCACCTGTAAGGCTCCTTCTAATGCCAAGATCCTAAGTTCCTCTCTGTGGGGAGTGCTATGTCACTGACCTAGATAGAGCTCAGATGCTGGCAGGCTGCCTTCTCAATCCCTGAATGACATACGTCATGTTCATTCTACATGTCCCTCCCCATACAAAACTCTTCCGTAGATTTAGCTTTCAAAACCAGATGCTGCCTCTCCTGCTTTGCACAATCATTTCTGCCTTTTAGGACTATCTGCTTCCCAGTTTCTCTCCCTGACTCTCAGTCACCTTGTATCAGCTTTAAATTACTGACCCCTAACTGAGCACCAGGCACTGTTCCCACCACTTGACAGGTGTCAACTCATTTCCCAAGGATAAACTTCGATCCCACTAGGTTTTGCCCACGTCACGTGCTCGTATTTACAGGCCAACTGTGTCATGTCAATTTCATATTTCTTTGGCTGATGTGCTGCAGCGTGTGGCTGGATTTTACATTGGGGCAGCGTGGAAAAGGTAAGTTAAGCTTGGGCACTTAGGTGGGAGTGGAAGACAAACTGCAGGGTCATTGCCCTAAAGTAGGTTAGAATGTATGGGGAAATTAACCTTCTAGAAGCGGTGGTGATTATACACAATATGAGGTAATACAGAAAGTGCTAAGTCCCTTGGCATACTTTATACATCCCCCCAAGATACTCTGGAAATACTTTATTGATCCTCTGGAGGCCAGGGAATGGAGAGTTTCGTGGGAGCCTGAGTACCCCTTGGGTGTGATGCTTCTCTCCGAATTTCCATGGCGTCCCAACACTCCATGGGTCCTGCTGCTCAGCAAGAGCAGGCAACTCAGGCTCAGTGCCCCTGAGACAATGTTTCTAGAAGCCCACTTTTTCCACAGCACATCTCTCCTTCCTGCCACACACTCCATTCTATTTCTTTGCTACTTAAAGAAACAAAGTTATCTTGAATAAAGAACTAAAATTTTGGCTGGGTGCAGTGGCTCACTCCTGTAATCCCAGCACTTTGGGAGGCATCGGGGGCAGATCATGAGGTCAGGAGTTTGCAACCATCCTGACCAACATGATGAAACCCTGTCTCTTCTAACAATACAAAAATTAGCCAGACGTGGTGGTGTGTGCCTATAGTCCCAGCTACTCAGGAGGCTGAGGCAGGAGAATTGCTTGAACACAGGAGGCTGAGGCAGGAGAATCGCTTGAACCCAGGAGGCAGAGGTTGCAGTGAACCGAGATTGCACCATTGAACTTGAGCCTGGGCAACAGAGCAGGACTCGGTCTCAAAAAAAAAGTTATTAAAATTTTATTTTATATTTTTTGAGATGGAGTCTTGCTCTGTTGCCCAGGCTGGAGAGCAGTGGCACGATCTTGTCACGCAGCAAGCTCTGACTCTTGGGTTCAAGCGATTCTCCTGCCTCAAGCTCCCGAGTAGCTGGAATTACAGGCATGCACTACCATGCCTGGCTAAGTTTTGTGTTTTCAGTAGAGATGGGGTTTGGCCATGTTGGCTAGTCTGGTCTTGAACTCCTGACCTCAGGTGAGCCACCCACCTCAGCATCCCAAAGTGCTAGGATTTTAGGCATGAGCCACCACATCTGGCCAAAACTGTATTTTGCTGACGATATACAGGCTCATTCTAGATACTGGAAAGCACAGAAAAGCATAAAGGAGAAAGAAAAAAAAAAAAAAAAAAAAAAAGCAACCTCAGATCTGAACACATCCAACTTCAGAGTCACTGTTCTTACATCAATTCTGTTTCTGCTTTCTTTTCCCCAATTCCTGTCCCTTGAAGATTTGACCACCACGCTTCACTCCCCGCCTGTGACAGTCACAGAGGAAGGTCTGAGATCGAGAGTCCTCTCCGCCACCAGAAGCAGCAGCAAAGACCCATCCAAAGGGTTCAAGAAAACTTGCCTTCTGAGAAGAGGAACAAGGGTCACCGGGAGGCACGCCCGACTCCACACAATTTCTTCCTACAATTTTGTAGGGGAGTCGAGGGCTGGACCCTAAAGCCTTCAGTCTGAATTCAGGCCTAATGCGAGAATTAAAGAACAGACACCTCCAGACTAACCAGATTCTTCTTATTCCAGCCGACCTTGAAGATACTGCAGAATGATTTTAAAAATAAAACATCCCAAGCTTCCCTTTTTCTCCCCTCGAACCTTCCTTGTCACCCCTCCTAGATACCCAGAAACCACAGCTTCACTTTTGTCAAGCTAGCTAAAGTTTTCTCTTTTCTACCCCCGGTCTCATTAACTCCACTCCCTCAGCCTCCCTGAATTTCCCAATGATTAAAGTAGTGGGCTTTTTAAAAAGGCCTCCAATTAGCACCTCATCAGCTCCAATTAGAGGAGACAAAAGCAGTGTAAAGATAACTCAGTGAGAGGGGCCGTGCAACATCATGTAATCACTTAAGACAAGCATTGAGCATTCCTTTTGCGAGCCACGCTGGGCCTATTCACCTTTCTTTCTTCCTTTTAGATGCATTTAAGACTGTTTTGCTGGGAAGCCAGGCCTCCCAGGAGTCTCATAATTCCTCATTCAGAGGCTACCTGTTTACAGCTCACAGAGTCCAAGGACCTAAACAATCCTATATTGTATGGCGAGTGCTTCCTTAAACTCCAGCTCCATAATGACGAGTTTTTCTGCAGCCCCACGAATAAGTTAAAGGCTGGCTTTATACTCAGAGTGTTCTCCTTGTACTGTCTTCTAATTACAAGGGAGGGCAACAATGTATTTTTTTCAATGAGAGTTCTTTGGAGCAGTTAATTTGGTGGCTGTACTAAATGCCCCCAAACATTAATTAGGGTGGAAGGAACCCTAATTTCCTCAGCAGCTTTCCTTTCCACTTACTTCCCTCGTTTTCACATAGGCCTGGATGAGTCTCCATAATGAAATTACCTCATTAATGCCTTTATTCTTCACAGTAACTCATTCAAAACCGACCATTTAGCTTTAATTTAATGCTGTCAAAAGGAAAAAGGTACATTCATGGCTTTGATTAGCAAAAATTTCCCCCCCTAAGGGGCGGACAGATTTAAATTATGAAGATGGTAAGTAGTGAGTTATAATTGGACACAAGCAGCACTCCAGGAAGGCTTCCACGCTTTCAAAGCCGGGGCTGGCCAGGCTGCGGACTATTAACTATGTCCCAGGCCTTGTTCTCGGGATTTGAATTGATGGCAACTTCTCTATAAAAAAGAAAATGGGGTTTAATTTTTGTTTAATACACAGTGGGGTTGTATTTGCCCACAGAGCAATAGCTTTCCAATGAGCTTGCCCTTTGTTCCCTTAATAATTTACTATCCATGCTTTC